ATCACGCCTCTGCTCGCTGGATCGGAACCAGCGACGGCCCATCTTTCTCACGCCCGATGCTTCTGCTCGGAGGACTTGCGCGCCAAATTGCCCTGCATGAGCCCTCGCGCCTCTGCCCGTCGGATGTGGAGGAATATCACACGACCAAGACATAAACTTTGACAATCCGCGCGGATTTCTTGGATCAACGCTGAGCCCCCCTCACTGGCGCGCGGAGCGCGCCCGGGCGCGGCGAAAGAGGCCCTGCCAGGGATGCCCCAGCGCCGATCTGAGAAATCCGCGCGGAGATTCGAGAGTTCGGGGGTTGAGCCGATCCTGAAGATCCAAGTTCACGAATCTCTGCGGGGGATATCGCTTTCGCCGCGGCCCCAGTGTGGGAAGCGTGAACATCCCTCTGTTGAGAAAGGGGGGGGGGTACGGATTGCTCTTTAAAATAAGTGCCCCCCAAACTGCCCTGAAACCAAATTCGCTCAAACATGCCGTGCCCCCTCCGGGGACTTTTCATCACAGTCCCGGTGCCCAAAAACTGCTCCCGGATGCCGAAAAAGCTAGAAAGCCTTCCTGAACCCAACACCTCGAAAATGCACGTCCTTCTTCCTGGCCAGAGCCAGTGCTGCGCCACCTCGGACCCCTGCACCTCTCCTCGCTGGATCGGCAGATTGGCGGGGCCCGTCCTCCGCGGCGGCCAGGGCACTGCGCGCAGTGGCGCCGCCCGCGGGCTGCTGGGCCACGACGTATGCCGCGGGGGATGGTGCGCGCGGCAATTGCGCCGCCAGGGGCTCGGGGAGCTCAAAGATGAGGATGTCGGAGGATGTCGGAAGAGGAGGAGGAGGAGGAGGGAGAGGAGGAGGAGGAGGAGGAGGAAACAGTGAGGAGGAGGACGAGGATGATGAAGAGGCGGAGTGGCAGGAGGAGGAGGAGGAGGAGGAGAGGGGGAGGAGCATGTCGGAGGAGGAGGAGGAGGAGGAGCGAGAGGTTGGCCAGTGGAGGAGGATGGCGGAGGTGGATGTCGGAGGGCCCCAGGGCGCGGGAACGCCGGCACGCCGCCGAGGCTCGGAGAGCTCGAAGATCGGCGACGCGACTCAGATTGTCGGCGCGCCCAGGGGAGGAAGGACGAGGGGGCGGACCTTCTCCGAAGCGACACGGGGGTTCTCCTCACAAGGCACCGTCAGTCAGCGTCCAATCTGGAGATCTGGTCGCATCGAAGTGTGCGTCGAAATGGGCCGCATCGGCATGGAGTCGAAATCGAATCGGATCGGCTGCGCCAGGATGCATCACAGCGCCCATAACAAACATCGGACCACATCAGAAAGAATAGGGTCCATAAGTATGACACTATCAGATCGGATCGATCGGATCGGAATGGGCCCTGCAGAAGGCTGGAGAGTTTCTGAGAAGCCCTGTCGCCTTCTGAGAAGGCCTGCTATCTCCCACTCCCCCCCCCCCTCGGCGCGCCGCCGATCACAGGACAGCGACCCCGTGCAACGTGCCCCTTCGTGCGCGGGTTCTTGACCGCTGCGTCGCCGGATGGCCTCTCATCGAGCAGGGCAGGGCTGCCGAGTACACGTCGGCCACACGGGGGGGCCGGGGGGCCATTCTTCCCCCGACTTCGGTGCGCGGGTTGCCGATCGCCCCACGCGATGCGACAGCAGCGGCCGTGGTGCTTGGACGCGCGGCCCCCCGAACGCCGCGCGCCCGAAGAGGAGGAGGAGGAGGCGGAGGAGGAGGAGGAGGAGGAACAGAAGGCGGAGGAGGCGGAGGGGGCGGAGGAGGAGAAGGAGCAAAAGAAGGAGGAGGAGGAGAAAGAGGGGGAGAAGGAGAATGAGAAAGAGGAAAAGGATGGGGATAGGGGAGAGGGAGGAGGAAGAGGAAGAGAGGGAGGAGGAGTAGGAGGAGAAGGAGAAGGAGGAGGAGGAGGGATGGGAGTGGGAGGAGCAAGAGGAAGAGGAGGAGGAGGAGTTGGAGGAGGAGGATGAGGAGGAGGAGGAGTGGGAGGAGAACGAGGAGAGAGGAGGAGGAAGAGGAGGAAGAGGAGGAGGAAGAGGAGGAGGAGGATGAGGAAGTGGGGAGAGGAGTGGGAGGAAGAAGCGGAAGAGAGGAGGCGGAGGAGGAGAAAGGAGGAGGACCCTCCTCCTCCTCCTCCTCCTCCGCCTCCTCCTGATCCCACCTCCTTTTCCGCCTCCTCCTCCTCCTTTTAATCCTCCTCCTCCGCCTCATCCGCCGCCTCCTCCTCCTCCGCCGAACGAGGGGGAGGAGGAGAACGAGAAAGAAGAAAAGGATGGGGAAGGGGAGAGGGATGAAGAGGAGGAGGAGGAGCAGGAGAAGGAGGAGGCGGAGGAGGAGGAGGAGGAGGAGGAGGAGGTGGAGGAGTGGGAGTGGGAGGAGCAAGAGGAAGAGGAGAAGGAGGAGGAGGAGGAGGAGGAGGAGTGGGAGGATGAAGAGGAAGAGGAGGAGGAGGAGGAGGAGGAGGAGGAGGAAGATCGGCGATGTTTTGGCGGACCGACGCCAAAACATCGCCGATCGATCGGAGAGGACACGCTAGAGGACTACATTGCCATGGGAATGTAGAAGGCACTGGCCTCTGAAGACAGGACTCAGGGGTACGCTTGAGTTGGCAGGGTCGACCTACGAAAGCCCGACTGTCTAGGCCCGCCATAGCGAGCCCCCACGTTTCTGGGCAGGTGGAGCGACGGTGAATGCGCAACTGGGCGTCGGTGATCTTAGGAATCGAACTCGATACACCGACGCAGTTTTCCGGCCCCGCCCCGCACTGAAGCTCGCACAAGAAAGCGGATCCTGGTGTATACGGGGTCCTGGTTCAGACATGCTCCCTCGTTTCCCCAGGAGAACGAGGACATGAAGCATACACCACGCCACCCCGACGTCGTCCCCGACCCTCAATCCAAAAAGTCCTGGGATTGGAAGAACGGCCCACCACTGGTAAGGTATACGCTTCAATGTCCGATGTTCCCCCCCCCCCCGCCTCCTTGTGCCGTTGCCTCTCTGACCTCCGCACCTCCCCCCCGCGCATTGGTACTCGAACACGTCCCCGCGCGACGTCTGCCAGTCGAACTTCCGGTACCTGGAGAGCGGCCGCGGCTATGTCCCCCAGGGCTTGGAGGTCCAGGCTGCCGCACTCGAGAAGAGGAGGGAGGAGGACTGAAGGGGCCCCGGGACACACAAAGAACTAGACACAAATCCAAGGATTCCCCTATACTTTCCTATATGTTTTCATTGTTTCCGTCTTCCCCGCCACTTCCCATATGATTCCATATTTTCCTGTGAGTCGACGATTAATTGTGTCTGTGTGTTTCTTCCCCTCCTGAGATCCAGGCTGCCGCACTCGAGAAGAGGAGGGAGGAGGATGCCCTAGGAAGCAAGTCCTGGCAGGTCGTCCAAAGAACGACTGCTCTTGTGCCCGAAAGGTTGACGCCAGGACGGCTGCATCCGTCCGATGCTGCCAAGAGTCCGAACCTCCTGTCTCCGCGCCAGGGAGAGGGGGTACAGCGCCTGTCCAATAAATCCGCGCACACCTCTGAACGTTTGCCGAGTTTTCTTTACAGCGAGGGAGGTGGGCGGCCACAAGTGAACCCTGACCCCCCTCTCCCCAGGGTTTCCAAGGGGGGTGGGGGTTCACTCCGCTCGGGAGCTCCCGAACGAAAAGAACCCGCACGCACACCCCTTAGAAATCGTGGGGCAGGGGGGGGTGCAAATGTGGCCGCCGAAGATCGGGTCGGGCGAAAGGGGGGGATAGCAAAGGGGGGGGGTGAAAATCAGCTCACGTAGCTGATTTTCCCGGCGCCTCCCGGCGCCAGGAGGCGGCCATGTGTCGAGGAATGGACCCCTCGGCGGGGTTGAAACCAGCTGCATGCAGCAAATGTCGTAACCCCCCTTTCACAATCCCCCCCTTCCGTCCGGCCCGAGAGGAGGGGAGGAGACAGGAAGGCAGGGGTCTCAGAGGAAGGCGGCCGTCTGCATGGCCCGCTCGCTCGGCCGCCCTTCCCTCCCCAGGCCCGGTCGCCTCCGCAGGGCTGCAGACCACGCCCCCTCGGCGGGAGGCCGGGAGGGAGGGACAAAGGGAGGAAGGCCAGGGCCGAAGGGTATAGGGCGGCGAGACCAAGACATACGCTGGTTGGAAGAAGCAGGTACAAAAACTTGAGGTAGGAAGGCGGGTGAAGTAGATGGGGCACACGCCCTCCCAGGAAATAACAAAACACAGCAGAAGCATGTCGATTCGTGAGGTAGGAAGGCGCTTGAAACAGATTGAGATCTCACTCGCACAATCACAAGCCATACGCCGTCCGGCGCGTGGGCAGGAACACAGTCTCAAACAACGACGCGAAATGGAGGGAGAAGAGCTGCGCCTGCTAAGTGGAGGAGGATGAGGAGGCGGAGGAGGAGGAGGAGGAGAAGGGGGATGAGGAAATACCTACTTTCAACGACCGGCGTGCACATACATCCACCACCTCCAGCCAGGCCAACCCTGGAGGCGGGAGCGGTATGCATACGACCCCCCTGGCCATTGGCAGGGGAGGCTATGCACACACCGAGGGGCCTAGGACTAGGTCGGGCGTGTCCTCCTACAGGAGGGTTTTGGACGAATCATACAAATTAGTTCGAAAATACTCAGAATGGTCAAGAATTCGTCCCCAAACTACTTGTTGTACTATTTTTCAATATTCCTCCTGTAGATGGAAATGCCCGGCTTAAGCCTAGGAGGGAGGGAAGGACACAAGGACCCAGAACTCTGGCGTCGTGAAGTCTTCATGTGGGCCCCAGAAACAAAGCCGACGGGGTGATTGCTTCACAGCGTGGATTCTCAAAGGTCTAGAACACTTGCCAGAGCCAGATTTTGACAACGACCATCTGTATGACAGTTCAGAGGCCCGGCGAGAGCCCCTGGAAGTCGAAAACTGTAGCAAACATCCCGTCGTGATTTGTTCGCAACGAGAGGAGGTGGGATGGGGAGGAAGGGCGGCGGATCTGTTGCTGCAGCGGCGTCAGTCCGAGCACGGAAGGCCGAACAAGGAACGAATGGGGCTTTCCCTGCCACAGCTATCCTCGGCCACGAAAGGTGCTCCGACCCTGGGCTCGAAGAACGGCCCGAAACCCGGACCCCCTCCTGAGCCCACAGGTGGTCTTCTGTCCAGCGCCTTGACTCTCGACCTCCTTTACGAGGAACCAGAAACGACAGAAACACAAACTGTCGAAGGTCCGCGCGGACTTCTTGGGCTGGGCGCGGATCGCGCGAGGGGCGGCGCCGGTGGCGCCGCCGGGGGAGCCCAGCGCCGAACCAAGAAATCCGCGCGGAGCTCAGAAAGATTACAGTCGGCCTGTATTGTAAGGATGCGCGATGAGGATGCAAGGGGCCTTGGCGAGCCCTTGCGAAACTCTTCGAGCGGGGCGCGGGCAACGAACGTGGTCAAGGATGGACCGAGGAGGCAAGGATGCATGCGCACCCTTGAAAAAGTTGCCCATCCTCACTGTGCGGGTTGACTGCGTGTTGATGCCGAGTGTCTCCTCTCCGATCGTCGCCCTGAGGGCAAGCGGCGCTTTCGGTGCTGCCGCGGCGTCTGTCCGAGCGCGCCGAGCGGGCCGCCCGCGGTCAGCCCCGCCCGCGCTGTGAGGGCGCGGCGGGCGCGGCGGGCGCGGGCCCGCGGGGCGGCGCCTTCGCCTCCGGCAGCCACGCCTTCTCCATGCGCCCGCTGGCGTGCAGGATGCCCGGATGCTCGTGCTCAGCGGAAGGCAAGAGCGGCATGGACAGAAACTTTTCCGAGGGTCCGCGCCCACTCGAGGCGAGCGCCCCCCACGACTCGCCACAGGAGTTAAGCGCTCGCAAGTGGCCCAGATCCGCCGCGGGGGGATTCACGATCCACTACATCGAAGCAAGCATGTGTTTTTCGAACGTTTGCGAGTAGGCACTATGCGAGTAGTGGGACGCGCTCGGTGAGATGTCTTGGATCTACGCTGGAGCACGCCAGGGGAGGGACCGGAGGCGCCGCCCGCGGGGTCCCGCGCAGATCCTAGAAAGCCGCGTGGACTTCCAACAGTTTCTGTGTAAGCAGCTTGTCTTCTCTTTGATCTGGGGGACCTTCCTGGGGCCCATCCCACGGATCTGTTCGATTCTGGCTTTTGACTCCAACTTAGTTCGACTCTAGGTCGACTCGAGCTCCACTCAGGTCCGTCGAATTGAATTGAGCCTGAGTCTAACTGAAAGAATCTAGGGCCGAGCTTGAGCCGAACCCGAACCGAACAGATCCGTTGAGTGGGCGTTCGACTCCAGCCGACGGACGTTCGACGCAGCATCGACGCATGCGTGGAGCAACTGGCTCAAGAAAAACCCCGAAAACGAGCATCTGAGGATGCAGACCCGGAACTGCTCCCCCCCGAGCGGGCCCGAGCTCTGCGCGGCGTTCCGCTCCTGGACGCCCTTCCCCTTGTCGTCCAGGTACCTGCCGGGTCGGGCGACAGGGGCGGCGCATTGAATCAGCTCACGCAGCTTGTTGTCCCGGCGTCTCCCGGGCCGGGAGGCGCCAACGTGAAGGGGCCCTGGGACACAGAAGCAAATAGACACAAATGACAGGACTCCCCATATGATTTCCCATGTTTTCAGGGTCTTTGTCTCCCCCCCCCACTGCCCATAGTTTTCCAATATTTTCCTGGGCAATCGACGATTACTTGTGTCTGTGTGTTTCTTTTCCCTCCTCCAATGCATCAAAGGAAACGGCGCCCGGCGGCGGGGCCGAAACTGGCGCTGCTGGCAGCAGAGTGCGCCCCCGACGGGAGCCTCCTGCGGCACTCCCGAGCCGGGGGGGGGGCCGAGGGCAGCCGGCGGTGGAGGATCACCACTGAGTCGGGCGTGTCCCCCTACAGGGGGATGTTCGACGAAATAGAAACAAATAGGCATAAAAATGCTCCCAAATGGTCAACAAAAATACTCAAGAAGTAGTCCCCAGACTATTGTTTGACTATTTTTGAATATTCCCCTTGTGGAGGGGCAGGCCCGACTTAACACTGCATCGCCGATGCAGTGGCGACGTCAGGGAGAACAAATCGGACTCTGCATCGCGCCGCATCGCCGATTCACCGGCCACGCGCTGCGATCCTCCGAGCCCATCCCGCCTTCCTCATCGCGGCCCCTCTTCCCCCTCCTCCTCCTCCTCCTCCTCCTCCTCCTCCTCCTCCTCCCCCTCCTTCGACGAACACTCGGCCCGTGGACCTCTCCAGGGCTTTGGTCTGTGTAGAGCTCCGACGAAGAATTCAGTCACGGCGACGAGAACCCGCGAGGCACCAATGGGGCACCTCAGACCTCGAGCACAGCCGGCCTCGTGAGAGTGGGGGCCAGTCGAGACAACGGCGGCTCAGCCATGTGGCACAAGCCCACTAAAAATCTGTTCCCGCACCCCTCTCTGGGTCCACCCTGAACCGTTGCTCGAGGCGGTCGGGTCGTGGCGTCGAGGAGCCCCCGAGAGGCCCACAGAGACGAGCAACGCCAGGAGAAAATCGGATCGAATTGGAATGTGCATCGAATCGGGCCGCATGGACACGGACTCGGAATCGAATCGGATTGGCCGGACAAGGGCGCACATCCGCGTCATGCGAACATCGCCACATCTGATTGTCGGAATATCGGAATCGACTCGGATCGAACTGGTCGGGATCGACGCTAGCATCGCATCGAATTGGAATGGCATTCGACTGTAATAGTTGGCATGGCGACCCCGCTCCTCGACGTTGTGACTTTCCGCTGGGCAGTACGTTTCTGGCCCAACTCAGCGATATACGATGGGGGATCGTCCTGTCTCGAATAAGGGTACCTCCGGAGGGCCCCCTAGGGGCGTATCCCAGGGTTCCCCTTCGTTTCTGAATCGCGGGAAAGAGTGATGATACAAACGTGCATACGCATACGCTGTGGGGTGCGTGCCAATTTCTAGGATCGGCGTTGGACCGTCCGGACCCCTTCCGTGGCGCGCCGAGCGCGCCAGCGGCGGCGCCAGTGGCGCGCTCTGGGGGCTCAGGGCCGATCCAAGAAAACAGCGCCGATCCGAAACTCGTGTTCGTGTATATGGTTGTTTTCTATGATGACTTTTGGCGGGAACCAGGGGAACGGGGGCAAAAGGTTGACTTCGAACTGGCCCTCCTCCGAATTTGGGAAACTCAGGGCACCACCACTGGAAGCTTTGCGGCGTTGGCGCCGGCTCCGAAGCCCGCTGCCTCCGGATCTGACGCGCCAAAGCGAACAGAACGAACACCGGGCAAGAATGCCATTTGGGCGCGCAATTCCCAATACCGACGGATATATCCATGTTCATGCGCTCGCTGCGGGGTGGGGATGTGCCCAGATCCACCAGCAACCGATACACCAGGGACACCGGGGGCCAAGACATGGATATGTTGCGGGACCCTGGGGTCGAAAAATGCCCATGTTGACCGCCTCCGGGCGTCCAGGGAAATTGGTTGCCCAGGCAGTGGATATGGATAAATCCGAGCGTCGGACTCGCGGACTGCAAAACCGAAACGCGGCCCCCTGAGCACGCTGTCCCCATGATGTGTTCCGCGCGGGGCATCCGCGCAAGGTCGCTCTGCATCCACGGGGTGGCGGCCGGAGGTCTGGACCGCGAGACCGCGGATATGGATTTTTATGATCCAGGGTGTCGGGTGCCCACGTCCCCCCCCCCCACCCCCCCCAGGTGGTGCGGGTCCCAAGGTTCCCACGTCCCCCCCCCCAGATGGTATGGGGGGGGGGGGCGGCGACGACGACGGCAACGACGACGGCAACGACGACGGCGACGAAGACGGCGACGACGAAGGCGAAGACGACGGAGAAGACGACGACGACGACGACGACGACGACGACGACGACGACGACGACGACGACGACGACGACGACGACGACGACGACGACGACGACGACTACGGCGACGGCGGCGACGGTGACGACGACGACGGCGACGGCGGCGACGACGATACCGAAGACGACGACGAAGACGACGACGACGACAACAGAGAAGACGACGACGATGACGGCGCTGCCTTTGCTGACAAGTATGCCGGAGGCACGCACGCATGCGCGCACGCGCACGCACGCACGCACACACACACAACCAACACGCAGCACACCATACCAGACCCAAAGGGGGGGGGGACACGCACGCACGTGCGCAAACCACCACACCACAGCACACCACCACACCACGCCACACCCACAGGGGGCAGGGGGACACGTACCTACTTACGCACGCACGCGCGCAAACCACCAAACCACCACACCACGCCACATCGACAGGGGGGGAAGGGGGACACGCACGCACGCACGCACGCACGCAAGCCCGCGCGGCTTGCCGATCGCTGCGCGGGGTGCGCCAGCAGCGGCCTGCGTGCCTGGAGTTGGCTCCCCCCCCCCAACCCCGCCGGCCGCCGCGCACCCAAAGGCCACCCCGGCGGAGGGCCAGCCCCGCAGGCAGACGGCTCCCTCCCTCCCTGGTTGTCGGTCATGGCCTGGGTTTCTGACAGCCGTTCGGGGGGGGGGTTCGGGCCCCCTCGTGGAAGCTGTCGGCGAAGCGCAGCTGCTGGAACGCATCCAGAGGCAGAATCTGATCTCCAGGAGCTGGCGCCTAAGGTCAGGAAACCGTTCTGGAACCGTCCTAGGGGGGAGGGTCCTGGGTCCAACGCCGACAGAAAACTCAAACGGGCCCCCCAAAAGAGCAAGAACATCCAAAGATCTGGGCGACACATCCGTGTGCACATACACCCTGCGAAATGCTTAAGAAATCATGGATTAAGAAATTCATAGTCTCAGAACTTGAATAAATACCCAAAAGTCCTTTTAAAATCTTAGGATTTACATTGAAACATTAAGAATAATCGAGACTCTGGCCGAAGACGTAAGTTTTCTTAAGCATCGCCTAAGGTGTACATTGGCGGTTGTCCTGTGAAATTGTCCCGACGTCAGAAACTGCAGAAACATAGTATGTGTCGCAACTAGGTGCGTCACAACACGTCTGGCGGACGAATCACAACGTAACGCGACTGCGTCCTCTTCATGACACGCCACTGCTATAAGGGCAATGTTTCGGTGTATTGGTGGCCAAACCAACACGGGGCGTGCCGACATGACATAACAACTGGCGAGCCACTAGAACGTCAAATGCATCACACCGTAGCGCACACATAACGCAGACAAGCAGCGCGAGGAACATCATAATCAATATCATGACAATGCATGAAAATGTCGCGAGATGATCGGCCATCAAAAAAGCTTGAAGTTCAGTCGCACTAGCGACTGAAAACATGCCGAGGACGCCGATTAACACTACTGCGGGAAATTAAAAGCCGACTGGGGATTGAAGAACCACGGCAGGTATAGACCATATCGAGGACGTGGTTGACAGACGAACGACAAAGTAAGGTGATTGCGTCCTCTCCGTGGCACGCCACTGCAATAACGGTTATGTTTCGGCGTAATGGTGGTCAAACCAATACGGGGCGTCCCGACATGACATAACAAATGGCGAGCCAGCACACCGCCAACACATCACATCGTAGCGCACAAATGAAGCAATCGAGCAAAGCGAGGAACACCACAACCAATGTCATGAATACCGTAAATATAAGTCACGACACGACCGGCCAGTCGAACTAGCGACTACAGTCATGCCGAGAATGCCGATGAACACTGCAGCGGGGAATTGAAAACCGACTAAAGCGAACCACGGGCTAGCAACTGATTCGGGGGCGCGCAAACATGGACTAGCGATCCATAGCGATCCTTGGATTCGGCGCGCGGTTGCCCTCCCCAATGCGGCTGGTGCCGCCTCGTTCGGCGGCGGGAATCAGCGATTTCCCATGGAAACGGGACCCGTCACTAATCCACGCCGCCTTGATCCATGTTTGCGATCGTCTGACTGATGCGCCGAGGCAGCGGGAGAAACAAAAGCGGCCGCGAACGAGGAGGCAACCTGAGGCGCAGTCACAAGATCACCGTCGCCGGCCAAGAGAAATTCGATGAAGGGGCTGAAAGACCATGAGCTCGCACCGTTGAATTGGGAAAGCAACCACGGTCCTCCTCCTCCATTTCCTTCCTTATAAACAACTTCCCCTGTCGCCTGAGACTTCCTCACGCTTATGACTCTGAAGCATAAAAATTGGCAGCACGTTCGCTTCAGTGCGGCGCACATTCGTTTGAAACATTTGCAAAACACTTCACGGATTGAGGGCGGGTGGTTTCCAAAATGTGGCTCTCGCCTCAGCGCGGCGCACATTCATTTTAAACATGTGCAAGAGATTCAAAGATTGAGGACGGGTGGTTTTCAACATGTGCTTCTCGCCTTAGCGCGGAGCACACTCGTTCTAAACATCTGCATGAGTTTCACCGATTGAAGGCGGTTCCTTTTTTCTGTTGCTCTCGCTTTAGCGCGGCGTGTTTTCGTTTGCGACATGTGCATTAGTTTCACGGATTTCCGTCATCATTACGCAGGCGCAACAATTACAATGATTCGCCGGTTTCAACGAAGTCCCAGATATGGCGCTCTAACAAGATTCAGGACCGTCAACACGCAAAACTCAGGTTGATCCGTGGCGTTGAAATCCCCATAACATGTTTTGTCATGATTCCAGGGCCTTCAAGCGGTAATCTTCCAACGAGGCAACGCCGTCAATGGCAATGAACCGCTGTAGGGGCCTAGCCTATGAAGAGGGAGATTTGAGGAAGGGGTTGTTCCAACATCGTTGATGATTCTTGGGTTTTCAGTGGTCCTGCTCATCCTCCTCCTCCTCCTTTTCCTCCTCCTCCTCCTCCTCCTCCTCCTCCTCCTCCTCCTCGTCCTCCTCCTCCTCCTCCTCCTCCTCCTCCTCGTCCTCCTCCTCCTCCTCCTCCTCCTCCTCCTCCTCCTCCTTCTCTTCTTCCTCCTCCTCCTCGTCCTCCCCCTCCTCCTCCTTTTCCTCCCCCCCCCCTCCTCCTCCTCCTCCCCCCGTCCCCCAATGGGAACCAACAAAACCCGATGTCCCCCACTTGCCCTGGCCCTTCGTGCCCACCCTCCTCCCCGGAAAACGACGCGGAGGGGGGCAGCCCGTAAACCCCTCGTTCCCCCCCCTTCCCCCTCCACATTCTTCCCCCAGGAGAACTATTCGAGGGGTACCATCGTCCCCCGGCAATTATGAAAAAGATGCTGATGCCGACGACGACGACGACGACAACGGGCGACCACGATGACGACGACGACGGCGACGACGACGACGCCGACACCGACGACAACGACGCCGACAACTTTAGCGTCGGCGACCACACACCTGTCGCCATCGCCCGCGCCAAGCGCCGGGTCTGATAGAATGCTACCAGGGCTCGGTCCACTTCTGATAAAACCCTTTTATCCGACGTCGCTCCACCTCACACGGACACCTGGTTGACTGGATATCGCTCGAATGAAATTCTCATACGGGCAGGATCCAAATGTAATCGAATTCGACCAGGGCTCGACCTACCATTCGACGAATCCTACTAGGGCTCGATCCAGCTCTACTTGAATATTTTTACCACTGATGGATCCAGCTCTAATATTATCCTGACTGGTAAAATTGAGCTCACATCGTACCTTACAAAAATCTCGTTCCAGCTGTAAAAGGATACCAAACATTGCTTGAGCCTCCAATTCGAATGGCATCATGCTAAGGTTCGTCCAAATGTTCATGCACCCCTGTGGATGTTTGATCCATCTCTGACAGCACCCTGCAAGGTTTGGTACAGCTCTGATACGATCCAACTATGATTGAACCCATATCTAAAACGTTCGCACTCGGGATCGATCGAGCTCTAATAAAAGCCCCCACCGGGGCTGGAACCAGCTCTGAAAGAATACTATTCGGCTTGATATGATGCTGATGGGATCCTACGAGGGATCGGTCCAACTCGAACAAGCTTCTACACGGGGCCCACCCGCTCTTGATAACATCCTTTTTGAGGTCGGCCAGGCTCTCCCAGGATCCTATGCGGGCTCGACCCAGCTCTGATGCAAGTCTACAGACAAGGCTCGACGCAGCTCTTACATGATCGTACTGGGCTTGGACCCAGCTCTAATTGGATCCTTTGGGCTCGATCCAGCTCTGAAACAACCCAACCAATGCTGCGTCGAGCCCTGGTCGAATCATGAAAGCGCTGGGTCCAAGCCAGATAGACTTCTATCCACGGTCGATCTAACATTTATGCTACACCTGTCTAGAGCTCGACTCATCTCTAATAATTTCACACTAGGGTTCGATCCATCTCCTGGGACAGTGTGGGGGCTGGGGGGGGGGGGGCACGTCGAAGGCCGCGAATTATTATTCCTGGCCTGCACCCGTGAAGGACCAAACTGCTTGCAGGCGTTGCGTACGGCTGCTGAACAAAGGGAGCGGGCCCTGGACAAAATTCTAACTCAAATCAAACCAGGTCAAGAAACAGAGGATCCCCGAATTCTCGGCCCCGTCCCTCCTGCAAACTCGCCCTCTCTCTCAACTCTGCACTCCAATCGTTTGAAATTCTCGGCTCGGCGCGCGGTTGCTGGCCCAAGAATCGAGGGCCCTAAGGCAGGGTCCCGGTGTCTGGGGACCAGGGATCCCGGGCCCTGGAGTCTAGGGCCCTGGAGTCGATGGCCCAAGCGGGGGAGGAAACAACGAAACGAAAAACAACACGAACGCACGGAAACTATGGCCAAGGCGAACGGCAACAGAAACGAAACGAATGACGAAACGAAAAACAAAACGAACACCCGATCGACGGCCGAGGCTACGGCGAAGGCTGGGGCCCAGGCTGAAGATCGAGCCAAGAACGCAACAACAGGAACGGATGGGAAACAACATGACGAACAACAAAACGAACGCCCGGAAACTGAACCAGGGCGAATGGCGACAAACAATGAAACAGACAACGAAACGAACAACAACAACAACAACAACAACAACAACAACAACAACAACAACAACAACAACAACAACAATTACTAGCACGTGGGGACACTCCGTTCTCACCAGGGCCAGGGTTTTCATAGGAGGCGGGCAATACCCCCACTTTGTGGGGGGGCCGGTTCAAGCTCTACCAAATTTCCAAACGACTCTTCGCCACCACCCACACCCAGCTTCCCGCCCTATGACGTTCGGACACTTCACTTCGTGGCATGCGGACGACCGTGGCTACTATTCAGGGCCCCGCGGCCCTGACAGCAACAGCAACAACAACAACAACACGAAACGAAACGACTATCATTATGGATGGGGTTATGGCAAGAGGCTGGGGCCCACGATGAAACGATGGCCAAGGACGCAACAAACCAATAGGAACAACAACAACGAAACAAACCACAAAACGGACGCCCCAAAACTACGTTTCGAACGATGAGAAAAAACAACTCGGCCTCGACATACCGAACACGGAAACAACATTAACAACCAAACGACTGAAGACACGAACTATGAAAACATAAGCGGCATTCCTCTTACACGCAATCAGAAATTCCAAACGCGACGGCGGCACGAAACGAAACGGACAACGAAACGAACCGCAAAACATATGGAACGGAGCAAAACGAACAACGAAACACAACCTTGGAACAGCAGCGAAACAAAACGGACAACGAACAACACAAAACATATGTATGAAAAGGATCAAACGCGTCTGAAACAATAGCGACCAACAAAACGGACGCACAACGGACAACAAAACAAACAACAAACCGAAGGCCAACACCGAACTAAACACCTTTGCGGTCGGTCTTTGTTTTTCGCTGGCAGTTCAAAGCCAGGGGGCGGCCAATGCTTCCTCAACGCAGATGGCACCTGGGAGGAAAAGGGCAGGAGGAGGAGGAGAAGGTCGTCGGGCCGCACCCAAATCAGGTATACGTGGGGGGGGTAGTGCAGTGACACCGCGTATCTGGCAGTATTCAGGCGGCCGCCAAGCAACAATTGCCAGCCGCGCGTTGGTCTTCCCCATGCCCAGGCGCGGGCCGTGAACGCCATTGGCTTTTCTGATCGTGGGCCGCCTGAAGCACGTATTGCATCGCTCATGAAAAAAGCTCAGTGGCGGTGTTTACTTCATTCGTCATTGCCAACAAAACATTGGATTTGGGGTTGCTGACATACCGGATTGTTGGTTATTGGACTTTCATATTCTCAAACAGTACATACGGTACGCCAAAATTCACGAAGCCCCCGTACCCTTTTGAATTCCCCAAATCCATGTACCCCCTTGAATTCCTGACGCCCTGGTTGACACCTTGCGGACCCCCAGGCAGCCGAAAAAGGACGAGACCTGGACGTCGCCAGCGCTTCCGTTCCAGCATGATGCCGGCGGGGAGCGTTGCCAACAATATGTTTGTCGGCCACCCCCCGCTCGGTTCCCAACAAGGCCCCCGTTTTTTTGCCTGTCGCATGTCCGACAAGGTTGGCGAAAATCCACGGTAACCGCCAACTGCGGGCTGGCAAACGTAGGTTTCCGGCCCCACGTTTATTGCAACGGCGGAACACCACAAGTACTGACGCCAGCGAAGCCAGTGCCGAACTTGACCCAACGGCGCGGCGGACGGCATTCCAACTCGACGACGTTTGGGAAATCGATTCGACGCCAGCTGCGCTGGCATGCGCACCTCTGCCCCCCTGCCCTCGTCCTCCTGATCGCCCTCCCTGTTGGCCACCCCCCCTCCCCCACGCGCCTTGCAGACCTGTGGCACGCTTGTTCAAACCACGATCAGTCGACGCCTGGCTACAAAGAACAACGCAAGGCAAAAAAACCCTCCCCCCCTCCTCCTGCCCTTCTCTTCCCTACTTGACTCAATTCCTCTTCCCTCCTCCTGCTGCTTCACGCAGCCCGCCCCTGTTTCCAAACGCCCCTCCCTCATACCACCTCTCCAGCTTTCTGTTGTTTGGAGGCAGCGCAACATGGAAGAGGGCCTCTTCGCGGCAGCCTGACGATGCCACCGCGGTCCTCAATGCGGAAACGACGTGGTGCCCATCCTGTGGCCTCTTTGTTATACGATATCTCTACAGGTAAGGTAGCGCCACTTTTGGCTGGGTTGGGTGCGACCCTAGGAAGAGGAGGATGAGGATGAGGAGGACGAGGGGCGGTGGGGGAAGGAGGACACCGACGTCGTGAGGGGAGGGGAGGGAGACTGGTGGGGAGGGGGACGGGGAAGAGGATGAAAAGGGAGAAGGCGTCGGACGAAAAGGAGGAGGTGGACGACGAGGAAGGCGGAGGAGGCGGAAGGCGAGGAGGGCTTCGGAGGGGTAGGCGGCGGAAGAGGGGAGCTGGAGGAATTGGACGACGGGGGTGATGGGTGAGAGGGAGGACGGCAGACAAGGACGAAGAAGAGGTGGCGAAAGTGGGGGTCGGAGGTGGGGCCTAGGAGGAGTCGTGGTCGTTGCGGGCATCCACGAGAAAGGCGATGCAGTGTTGGGTCGTGCCCTGCCTGGCGTAGCCGAAGGCTACGCCAGCGCGGTGCTGCTTCCGTATGTGTGTATATAGATGTGTATATATATATATAGATAGATAGATAGATAGATAGATAGATAGATAGATAGATATATAGATGGATAGATATGTGTGTGCTCGCCTGTTGGCGTGGGGGTTCTGGGGAGCCAAGTGGCGAGCTGTCCAGCGTTTGTACCCCTACTTCTCTTACAGCGCGCATACAGTACGTATGCACGCTTATGCAGCTGGAAGGCAGTCGACGCCTCTTGGGCGGCGGCGCGCCGCCCTCGCCGCCGCCAGCGTCCAGCTGGCCCCGGATCTGCTGGACGACCCAGTGGCCCACGCCGGTGAGCGTGTGCAGGGAGCCGAGCGTGAGGTTGCTGCCGCTGCGGAGGCTGTCCTGGCGAGGAGGCGGCTGCAGGGAGGAGGCGGCGGCGGGGAGGAAGAGGGGGCAGAGGACGAAGGGGGCCATTGGCTGGAGGCTAATTCGGAGGAGAGAGTCTCGGCGGAAGTTCGGCCATGGCTGGGCGTGAGGTTGCTGCCGCTGCGGAGGCTGTCCTTGCGCGGGGACGATGGCAGGAAGCAGGCGGTGGCGGGGACCCTGGGAGACAGTGGCAGGGAGGAGACGATGGCGGGGAGGAAGAGGGGGCAGAGGATCAAAGAGGTCATGGGCTGGAGGAGAAAATACCGAGGGGAGTGCCGCCATGGCCGTGCATAGGCCCCTGAAGGGCACCAGAAGTGCCAGCAGACGTCCAGTAGGATGCCTCCAACTGGACATCCAAGGCGGGGCTTTGCATAAAGCCGCCGCCTGGGGGATCAAATCTTCGGGGGCTTCGGCAGGCGGTGGACATGGACACACTCGTGCCGTGGGTGGGGACTATGTGTCCAGGCCCACCAGGGCCCGAAATATCAATGTTCGCCGCCTGCCGAGGTCCCTGAAGGTCCATCCCCCAGACAGTGTTTATGGGTTTAGTTGTTGGTAGCTCCCCGCCTCGGATGTCATGTTGGAGGCATCCTTCTGGACATGTCTTGGCATTCCCTGCGCATGCATGGGGCTAGTGGCTAGGGGGGCTCGTCGCAGTGGCCGCAATCCCATCGGTCTCGGGTCTCTGGTGACTTCGTACAGGTTCACCTTGCAATTTGGACTGAAATATGTGTGGTCGACAGCTCGGCAGGTCTGGTCAGACACTCTCCGGGAGAGGTCTTGGGATAAATCAATCCGCACCGAATCCAGAATCCGCTGTTCATCTGAGTGTGAGTCGGATCGGGCCGCAACGGCACGGCGTCAGAATTGGATCGGCCGCGCCAGGCTGATGCTCTGGAGGCAGTCCTGATGGGCTCCTCACTCGTCCCTCTCCTCACCCGACCCCCCTGACCTCTGCGCTCTCGTCCTCGCTGCCAGCTGTCATCACCGACAGATCCCGGCCAAAGCTGGACAACGTATCCGCACCTCCCGAGGGGTCTGGCCAAACATCTTGAGCAACTCACAGCAGGCCTCCCGGCGCAAAAAGGCGTAATTCGATTGTCTGTGGTGCACTGTCTGCCACTTGACTGGCATTGAAACATTGTTGCATTGGCATTGTCCCTGCTGCTGTATTGCGCTCTCCGAATTGAGTCACTCTCGCCAGGGTGACGCTCATGAGTGGCAGCTTTCTTTCCAGGGAGCGCTACAACAACGACCCGCCCTTCACACCTGACTCAGGCACGTTGTCTACGAAGTATCCCCTATCGCATGAAACAGTGCCGAACTTTCAAATTCCTTTCGCAAATTCACGTGTCGAATTAGCTGGGCCAACTCAGAAATATAACCAATCGTGAATCACTCCTTCATCTTGTCACTTGACACGGACGCCACCCACAAGAGGTATATCCTGTGGCCTGCGCTCCCTGCTGTGACAGCGCCATGGTCGCATACAAATCGAAATGTGTGTTGGGTTGGTTGAATTGCAGTGTGGAAGGGACACGTCCTCCTCTTCCTCCTCCTCCTCCTCCTCCTCTCTTCCTCCTCCTCCACCAGTGCCGTGGCCCATGTTGCACCAAGAGCGGGCTCCACGTAAGCCCGCCCCGCCTGCCACGCCGCGTGGACAGAGCTGGCCCACCCGAGACATCCTCGGAGAATCACCCGACTCCAAGGGGAGGAGGGGAGGAGGAGGAGGAGGAGGAGGAGGAGGAGGAGGAGGAGGAGGAGGAGGACGGGGGAGGAGGAGGAGGAGGACGGAGGAGGAGTGAGGAGGAGGAGGACGGAGGAGGAGGAGGAGGAGGAGGAGGAGGAGGAGGAGGAGAGGAGGAGGGGAGAGAGGAGGAGGAGGAGGAGGAGGAGGAGGAGGAGGAGGAGGAGGAGGAGGAGGAGGAGGAGGAGGAGGAGTAGAGGGAGGAGGAGGAGGAGAGGAGGAGAGAGAGGAGTAGGAGGAGGAGGAGGAGGAGGCGGAGGAGGAGGAGGAGAGGAGGAGGAGGAGGAGGGGAGGAGGAGGAGGAGGAGAGAGGAGGAGAGGAGGAGGAGGAGGAGGAGGAGGAGGAGGAGGAGGAGGTGCGGTTACCCGGAGAACCCACTGATTGACTCGCAACAAGCGGTGGTCACGTCACCGTTTGGAAGTCCCTGGTAGACGGGGCGCGGGCTATCGCACCGCATCGCCGATGCATCGGCGACGGCGGAATGGAGAACCAGGGTGACGTAAGACTCGAGTCTGGAGACCCTGGCCAGAAATGCGGCGCACCTGGCCTGCGACTTGCCGCGCAGACCCGCTGGGAACATCTGACAGCAACTGGAACGTCAGAGTCCGCGCTGGTGCCCTATAAAAGCGACGGCTAACCCGATCACTGGCAGACTCGACTCCTATGTCACCCCCCGGGGACAAGGAAATCGCTCTCCAGATCGCGCCGCACCGCCGATGCATCGGCGATGCGGCGCGACCCTTCGACCCCACCTGCTTCGGTACCCCGTTGGGGAGGCATGGATGGGCACACCGAGCGGAGGGTGACCGTCACCGAACAGCCAGGGGTCGTGTCTTTGTCTTCTGCTTATCTTCGGCGCTTCATCTGTGATTATGCTGCTGGGGGGACGCCTCACCCAGTCGCTGTTCCTCCCCCTCCTCCTGTTCATCCACCTCCTCCTCCTCCCCCTCCTCCTCCTCCTCCTCCTCCTCCTCCTCCTCTGCCTCTGCCCAATGTTTCCTCTCATTGCTTGTTCTCCTCCTCGTAGACGTCGTTGTCCAGTCATCTCCTCCTGCTCCTCATTGCTCCCCGTCGACGCTCCTCCTCCGTGCGTCTCCTCTCCCATTGCATCCCCCTCTTCCTCCTCCTCCTCCTCCTCCTCCTCGTGCTCTTCCTCCTCCCCCTCCTCCCTCTGCCACTCGTGCCCTTCCCTCCTGCCCAGAAGAAGGAACCAACGGCACAGGCAAGAACACCCAGAGGTCCACGCGGATTTCTCGGATCGGCGCGCTGCACCCCCTCCCCCGACGCTCGCCGCCTATAGGGGTCCAGCAGCAGTCGAGGAAATCCCCGCGGGCCTCCAAGAGCTTCCGCTTACGCAAATGTTGAAACATGCCATTCACCGACCCTCAACCTCCCGTTCGTCGTCCCCCCGTCCTTCTCTTCCCCCTCCACCCCTGTCCTGGTTCTTCCGGTCTTCCCTTCTCCTGTTCGTGCCTGACTATGCTTCGTTGTGCCCCTATCTAAGAGGAAGAACTACGTAAACTTACACTTTTGGCGCTCCTCGCGGATTCCTTGGATCTGCACTGGAACCCCTTCCCTGGCGCGCGGAGCGCGCCACGGTCGGCGCCCCAGGCGCTGCCAGGGGGGCCCCAGCGCAGATCCAAGAACTCCGCGTGGAGCAAAGACATGATATATGCTGATAGCGTGCTTCTTCTTCGGAATCTGCCCCTCTGTGCCCCATCGCTGCCCTGCCGCTGCCCGGACCCGAGTGGCCGCCGCCCAAAGCGTGCGTCACGACCTCCGAGCACGCCGAGGGCTCCCTCGGGCGTGCGGGCCGAGCAGACAGCCCGCGGAGCAAGGCCTCCGGCCTCCCTCCCGCCACGGCGCACGCAAGAGTAGTCAGCCGCTGGCAAGTCCTGCTCCTCCTCTTCGCCTCCCTCCCGAGTTCGGGTCGGACGGAAGTGGGCCAAGACATGATCGCGTCGTAAAACAAATCAGGACGGGAGGTTTTTGGCGACTTTCGGCCTCGGGGGGCCCTCGCCAGGCAGCGGGAGAGTCAAAAAACGAAACAAGATGAAACACCGGTCCCAGGGAAAGGGTCGGGACTTCAGGGACCCCGTATTGGAAAAATCAAGGCGTCGCATGTCTGGGGAGTTTAGTGCTTAGCAAAGGAGGGGTTCGCGAATTAGCTCACGTGGCCAGGACTTCTCCGGCGCCTCCTGACGACAAGAGGCACCAAGAAGGTGCCGAGGAGAGCGCCCCACGGGGGAGACGGAAACCGGCTGCACGCGGCGGATGTCGTACTCCCGTCCCATTCGCTCTCGTCCGACCCAGCTCATCCGCCTTTTCCTCGTCATCCCTCCGCCCTTCTCCTCCTCTAGAGGAAGAGAAATAAACAATGTAAACATCACTTTTAGGGGGTCCGCGCGGATTTCTTGGATCTGCGCTGGACCCCCTTCCCTAGCGCGCGGAGCGCGCCAGGGGCGGCGCCAGAGGCTCTGCCGGGGGAGGGGGAACCTAGCGCGGATCCGAGAAATCCGCGCGAAGTGCCAACAAATTATGCGTGTACCGTTTCTTCTTCTTATTCTTCTTCTTCGATCCTCCTCCTCCTCCTCCACCCTCAACCCTCCCTCCTCCTCCTCCTCCTCCTCCTCCTCCTCCGTCCTCCTCCTCCACACTCCACCATCCACCCTCCGTACTCCTCCTCCTCCTCCTCCTCCTCCTCCTCCTCCTTCTCCTCCTCCTCCACCCTCCACCCTCCGTCCTCTTCGACTCCTCCTCCTCCGTCCTCCTCCTCCGTCTCCTCCTCCGTCGTCCTCCTCCGTCCTCCTCCTCCTCCTCCTCCTCCTCCTCATCGTCTCTCCTCCCCCCTCCTCCTCCTGTTCTCCATCTCCTCCTCCTCCTCCTACTCCTCCTCCTCCGCCCTCCTGCCCCGAGTACGCCGGGCGGCTCCAGGATGGCGGACTTGGCGCGGCGCAGGGCCCACACGTGGTGCTTGTCCTGCGGAGCGGCGGGAGCGCGCGGCGGAGCGCGCGGCTGCGCTTTGCTCTAGGCCTCTGCGATAGTTTCCCTCCGGCCCTCCTCTCCTCACTCCGCGGACCCCCTCGGGCAATGAAGAAATCATCACGGAAGGTTTTTCAAATGTTTCGGCCCCTGGAGGCCCTCACCAACCCTCGGGACCGTCGAAAAACGACGCGGGAGAGAAAACCGGTCCAGGGGAATGGGTTGAGATCTCTGAGGATCGACGTTACGAAAAATCATGAAGTCGGGAGTCTGGGTCCTCATCCGAACCCATACCGCTGCTCGTTCTGGAGAGCCCCCGTCGCCACGGCCGGATTCGCCTCGACCATCCGGTCTCGACGCACCAAAGGTGAGGTCAGGGGAGTACACGCCGGTCGGAAGAAGCGGGCAGAAACATGAAGTAGGAAGGCGTTGGAAGTAGATTGAACTACCGCCCGACCCCTGAAGCGGAGAAAAGAAGGAAAACCGATCGACTCTTGAGGTAGGAAGGCGCCTAAAGTAGATTAGGATTTGGACATCCCAGAATTTCTTACTTTCAACGACCGGCGTGCAGTGGTGTTGCTGTATGTCTGTGCCCCCTGGCCTCCACCAGTCCCGTCTTCCTCCTTCTCTCCTGCTCTCCCTGCCCAGGTATCCAATGCCTGGCCGCCCCTCGAGCCTGCTCCCCACCCGTTCCTTCCTCTCCGCCTCTCCCTGTGTCCTCCCCATGCCCCCCCTTCAATGGTGGATCCCCAGTGTACGGCACAGACATACGCTGTCGGGGACCCGCGCGGATCTCTGGAATCGGCGCTGGACCTCCCTGGCGGCGCCTACAACGCTCCGAGAAATCCGCGCGGACCTCGGCGCCGCCATCGGCGCCGTCCTCGACCACGGCGTCGGGGGTACGTGCGGCGCCGACCCGAGAGAACTCCGCGCGGACCTCGGCGCCATCATCGCCGTCATCATCATCATCATCATCATCATCATCATCATCATCATCATCATCATCATCATCATCATCATCATCATCATCATCATCATCATCGTCATCATAATCATCGCCATCATCATCATCATCATCATCATCATCATCATCATCATCATCTACATCATCATCATCATCATCATCATCATCATCATCATCGCCGCCATCATCATCATCATCATCATCATCAGCAGCATCATCATCATCATCGGCATCGTCATCGTCATCATCATCAGCATCATCACCATCATCATCAGCAGCTTCACCAACCAT